GCAGAACCAGGGATTGAACTCAGACCCTTGTGCTTGCCAGGCAAGTGCTTATTCTACTGAGCCATCTCCCCAGCCCCTGAAACATAAATTCTAAATGATAATATAGTTACCACAACTTAGTTTCCCTTGATTTACACACTGCATTAGCCTAGGAATATTCCACATCAATCCTTTAAACCTCATATACCATGCCTGACAGAAAAGCTCATGCTGTAGTGTGCCAGGACTTGGGAGAGACGGAATGCCAAGCTGCCTCAAGTCTTCCTCATTATAACCTAGACCTTGCACTGCCAAACATATCCCTCCCCCAGTCACACCTTCACTGATGAGAGGTTCCACTAAAAAATAAAACAAAATGACACCCTCTCCCCCGAATCATTCCATCTTTCCTAAAGTGTTCGCCAGGAACTGGATGCTTTCTTTTGAAAGAATGATACTAGAAAATGACCATTTTCATTAAACCAGTTGGTTGGCACACCAAAGGTATCTAAATGAGTGGAATCCACTCAAGAATATTTTGTTCTTAGGTCATTGTTCTGTTTGATCATGTACAACAATTTTCTTTCTTTTTTTAACATAAGGAACAGTAAGGGTAAAAAAGAGAAAGGACCAAGCTGGCCCATTCTTAGCGTTGTAGAAGCCAGGCTCGGCGTCAGGGGGTCCCAGTACTCACGGGTGAAATGGTTCGAGGTGGAGGGATTGACGCTGTCCCCGCTGTCCGCGCTTTCACTGCTGGAAACCTCATCGTCAGATTCCCGCACAGAGGAGCAGGGTGAGGAGCCGTCCACTTCTTCAAACTTCCGCTTTAAAATGCCGCTCATCGCTGCAGCGCTGTCACATGGACCTGGGACGGGGCAGAAGCAACAGAGCATTGAAACATTTAGCATGGCCACCGTCTCCACAGTCACTTTCCTATGTGCTTTACACAAGAGCTGAGCTGAAGCTTTCATTTGAAGAGATACTTGGCAGATTTTCCCCCACTTATTTTCAAAACAACAAAATTAAATATGACTATTTGACCATTTTTCTAACCAAAGCATTTCTATTTTTATTTTTGCAGACATGGTTCATTTTCATGTAGGAATATAATTCCTTTTTGTGGGCCAACAGAAAATCCACCTGAGCCCATAAACTTCTGTTAAGATAAACGTCAGCGTCCCTCAAGGACCTAGGTGATTATTCCATTACAAAATTCACCTGGAAGAAATGCTCAAAACAAGTTGCAAAAACTTTACGCTTAAATTTTAAACTTTGAGAAATATCAATATAATTTGAAATCCAATCTGAATTTAAGTCACCATCACAATAAGGTAAAGTGTCCCCATGATGTGTAGTTGCTGATCTGCGGCTTGTTCTTTTTAAAAACCTGGTGACACTGCCAAGCAGAAAAGCCTCCTGTGAGGATAGACTTAAGCCAGAGGAGAACCTGATCCTTAGGCTTTATCACACAGAAATGTTTCCACTTCTCTGGCGTGGTTTTTAGCAGTTCTTAACACTTATCTTTGACATAATCTGGAGTGTCTCATCTAATAAAAACCTGTGACTACTGCATAAATAAATAAACAAAAAATAAATAAATACCTCCTGCACCACTGAATGGAAAGTGCTGGGAATGCTTAGGAGACAGTTTCCTTCTAGTACTTTCTCTTAGATGAACAGGCTCGGCACTCTTCTCCCTGCCCTTTCTCGACCTTGCCTATTTTACCTTGATATATGCAGAGTCAGCTAAAGGACATGTACTTCCTTTGCAATCTAGGGAGGTTTCAAGGGGTGAGCTCCACATAAATTAGTCACATGGACATGATCTTACAGTGCTAAATTGGGTTAACTTAGCTGAAAGTATTACTAAGTCAGTTCCATGCCACCTCATTTACATCAGCTGATTTTTGGCACGCCTCTGAGTTCTTTAAGCCAGGTTTTCTTTGTTGCTTTGCGAGTGTTTCGATCAGTCCTGCAGATCAAGAGGAAGCAAGACCCTTAAAATTATTCTAAGGCCCACTCTGCTACCTTATCTCAGTACTGCTCTATAAAATCTCTAAAATCATCTCTTCTCTGTTCAGATCACAGAGAAGCAGCCTGCTCAGATCCCTTGAGCTGGGCCAGCTTTACACTGTCTGATTCAGAAGTTTTCAAAGTGTGCTTCCTGGGTCGGTAGCAGTAGGATCACTAAGAGGGAGGTGCTGTAGAAATGCCCTTCTCAGTTCCCCTTCCAGATTTGCAGGTGTCAGAGATTTCCAGGGCGCAACGCGCTGTACTTGACAGGAGTTTGGAAGCATACTCAGATCGGATGGCCACTTGCCCAATTTCCAGTTCTGCTCCAGCGTCTCCCTCCCTGGATTCATCTGCTTCAGGTTTGTCCACCTAGCAGCCCAGAGACACCCCTCACTCCCACATCGACTCTTAGCCAAAGAGAATCTGTTGACCACCTCTAGTATGAGTTCGGTAAAATGAAGCACAGTATTAGATATAGCTTAAGTATTTATTCTTAACTCCAGTTGATTCATTCATCTAAGCGCGTGTTGAGTAACTGGTATAACTGATGCCTTAAGTGGGGTAAGGGATGCAAAAGGAGTTTGAGCACGTTACCTGCCTTCAGAGTGCAAGCATCCACGCTGCTAGACTCCATCAAATACAGCACGATTCATGCTGTTTCATTAATCCATGTCTTCTGCCTGACTAGCGCAGTAACAGTGAAGGCAGCTGATAGCAACTGGAAGATGTATCAGTGTCCACTGTTTCTGAGAATAAAATGGATTCAATGCTGATTTTACCCCACTCAGATTAGCATATTATTTTCTTCATCTTAAAGAGTGTGAAATGTAGAAAATGTTCATGCATATCTGAGCAGGGTGAAGAGGATAAAAAGAGATATTTTAAGTAAAGTCTCGAAAAAAGTAGGACAGGATATAAATTTTAAAATGGTTCACTTCAAACAAGATGCAAAGCAATTCATGAGGGAGAGGCTCCAAGACATAAAGCAATACATTAAAAAAATCTGTGTTTAAAAGTACATTTTTACAAGTATATTTCATAAGAAGATCTTGCAATGGGAACAGTTAAACACCTCATCTTTCTCAAGCTCTATTCCTTTCCACTTCCTCACGAAAGGCAGATTTCTCAAAGATCAAGGACACCCACTGGGCTAAAGGGAGCCGTGTTCTGACATCACAATCAGTGGTACTGCTTCTCTTTTTGCTCTTTTTCACTTCCTGAGTTCGAGCACCGGTACCGAAAACGACAGGGGGGATGCTGGAAAAATGGTATGAGGATTCTGACATTGGCCGTTTTCCTTTGGTTACCAAATTTGACACTGACAAGGCTTAAGGAATGGCTCTGTGACCTGGGAGTATAATTTCTGTCTAGATCTCCAGTACTGAAAGACCCAAGATGAAGGAAGAAAGGAACTGACTGCCTGGAGAGGGAGCGCTATCTAGACTAGAAATTAAATGTTGAAATAATTTTAAGGGAACAGAACTATATATATATATATATATATATATATATATATATTCATATGAAACTAACAGCCAAATTGTACAGTAATGAAGCAAACTACCTATCTAGTTTCACTGCCTTCAAACAATATATAATAATTATATTAAAATATAACAAATTATGATGGCAAATGGCTCACTGCTTACCAAAATGTATCCTTGAATATAGTGAGTAGTGGAAGGCTAAGGGGCAATATGGTTTTCTCCTGCATCATCTTACTGGGTGAGAAAGGGGTACAAGAAGTTATGGTGAAGACCCTGTTGATAAGGTAGTGCAGCCTAGTTTGCTGGTGTCTTGCATTGCTTCTCTACGAATGTAAGAATAGCAAGCAATATGTGGCTATTTCTACAGGTGAGGAGAATGAATGGCTATCTTATTGCTCCCAAGGCTCTTTAAATATAATTAAACTTGGTCGATATGAAAACAATGAAATAGGGATAAACATTTCAAATTGGCCTTACGTGCATAAAAGCCCAAATGAACACCAAGCATATATTGATGCTGTTTCTCCAACTTGCCACTGCTGCCTGATCTTTAGGCTAGATGGTACACTATTCTTTCAGATCTCCTCTTAATTTTTGTCCATAGCATTTATTACCTCCTAAATTCATATTACACATTTATGCATTTCTATGTTTATTGCTTATTGATTTCATTTTCTGGAGAAGAGTGAAAGGCAAAGGACCTTTGTTTTCTTTATTGATGTTCTAAGTGTATAGAACAGTGTCTCGTGTAGAGCAGGTGCTCAATAAGTATTTAAGTGAATGAATGAAATCCTTTCATTTCCATACTTTATCCTGTCTGTTTCCTCGCTAGATTGGAAGTTTCAGGAAGGCCCAAAGCATGTCTCTCCCCCTCACTGCTCTACCATCTCCTAATGATAAAATTTCTGGCATAGTTGATTGAATGAAAATCAAAATGAGAGATAAAATGGGCCTTGCAACACAATACAATTATTTGTTTTCTTATTTACTTTCCTGACAAACAACACAAAAACCAGTTATAGATTAACACAAGGAAAGGGCTTGGGAAGATGCTGGAATAACCAAAACTTAGAAAATAAGGTGATTGGGACAGCTTTGGTGCCAATAGCTACAGAAATTCTTCAGTCTTTTCTCCAGAATTTGTTGTTACCACATTTGTGGCTCACTAACTTCTCTACATTCTCACAGCCCAAGTTTAATGTTTCAAAGGATGAAAATCTATGCCTATGCTGGGTTAGATGTCCGTACATGGGTGGTTGGACCCTGGGCAGTGGGTGGAGGGAAACACTGAATATGCCGCCACCTGAAGTGAAAGGTTGGATTCCAGAGAATCTAACTCAGAGACATCAGTAAGTTCCTTGCACTTCAAAGCCAGTCTTCTGTCCCTATCCAACCTGATTTCTCTTACTATTTTTATTAATCAATTAATATATGAACTTGGGTTTGCTTGGAATTCCCCTTTCTCTGCATTCATGTTCTCTTATCTATTTCCCTATTTAATTTAGAAACTACTTTAAAAATTACTAAGTACACTTATTAACATGTTATTCTTGATTAGCAAATTCTATTTATTTCATATCTGTATTGGATGTAACTATTGCTTAGAAGCTTCTCCAGACCTGAAAAAAATGTGCCCAGAAAAAAAGTGATATAAAAAGAGCCATTGTTTTTTTGCTTGTTTGTTTTTGTTTTTTTTGCATTTTAGGGAAGGGTCTACAGGGTGTTCAGGGACTCACTACTGTATCAGACTCATTGTGATCCACCTGTTTACAGCCTCCCAAGAGCCGGGGTTACAGGCGCATGCCACCACACCCAGTCTCAGTTGCTGAGCCAGTGTACCCCAACAAACCCTTGCCCCCTGCACCTACTTACAGGTGCTTTAATCCACTGAGCTATTTGGCTGGCCTTCCACCGTTTTTTTTTTTTTTTTTCCAATGGTGATAAGTATCATTTCATTTAGTCTATTTTTGGCTTATTGAATAGGTAAAGACAGTACTGAGATTGATGGGAAAATCACAATCCAGAATGATATAAGATTATAATAATAGTGAGAGTTTGGACATAAAGAAAAATCTTGAAATAGACAAAAACACATCTTAATAACTTTGGAAGAATGGCTGAAGCTAAATTTTGGGTAAATGTAGAATCTTTCTCATTTTATTTTCTCTTCTGTTGTTTTTGCTTGTTTGCTTTTAACTTTGAAACAGGGTCTCACTCTGTAGTCCAGGTTCCCTCAAATTTGTAACCCTCCTGCCTCAGCCTGCCTAGTACTAGGATTAAGGTATGTGTGGTTTTTGCCAGATTTTTACTGTCTCGTGTTGTCTTAAACACTCCATAGCTTTCACAGATAACTTACAGGTTTTAC